GGGGACTACGCGCAAAAAAAAAAAAAAAAAAAAAAAAAAAGCTTTAACCCTGCAGTCTTCTCCAGGCAATTCTAGCATCATCAGAAACACAGAGCAGCCAAAGGATCTGATCTCTTGTTTGACTTAAGTGTGACAGCAGTCAAAGTAGAAAGAAGAAGCAGATACCAACCACCACCACAGCAGTTTCTTTTTCGGTAGACTCACCATGAAAGTCAGATTTTACAGTCACCTGTACATTGGCCTACTTCGTCTTCTTCTTTCCCTTAATTCTGTTTGTAAGCTGGTATGGGAACACTAAAATTGAAACATGGATTTAAGATTAACTTCAGTGTCTCACTTAAACGAGCACCCCCAAAGTAGGGCTGGTACAGAGACCCCTGCCCAGGCTTTCCCTTATGTGTGGATAAGGAGAGAGCACCACCCAGGGCTCCTGGGGCATCAGAGACTGCTCTGCTACAACTCTTTCTGAAAGAGAAACCGAAGCATTGACCACCTCCTGGCTTCATAATTTCCCAGCTGGTGATCATAATCGGTGGAACTTTGTACCTCAGTCCTCAGGACATCTCAGCTTCGCTTAAACGTTTTGAATATCTGAACCACCCATTCAATGCCAGTATCGATCATGCGGAATGCAACTTCCCAGCTCCCCAAACTGCAGACGGGTCATTACATTTCTTTTCAGAGACAAAGCTATGCTTTGAGGCAGCTGAAAACACGACTACACACCCAAGATAATGGTCTTTTTTTAAAAGATCATGGCACCCGGCAGCTCCTGGGAGGCTGGGCAGGACTTGACTCCAGCAGGCAGACATGGCAGAGCTGTGGGAGCTCAGCAGTTGCCCACAGACCAGGCTACAGCACCTGCTTCAGAGGTGGCAGGAAGGTAAGGAGAACGCCCTACAGATGGCAGGGAACACTGACACTACAAACCAAACGGATACAAGCATGCAAAATAAAATTGGTTGGCTAGACTGAATTAAGTTTTAGCACAGACAGCTTATAAATAAATCCTCCAATTAATTCAAGTTAATCTTCCTTGCTGAAAGTTACAGGTGTTGTCAACAAAAAACAAGTTTGCTAAATTTTGACAGAAACATTCACGGTATCAGGATTCAAAATTACAAAAAAAAAAAAAAAAAAGGAAATAAAGACCAAGAAATTCCAGAACAGACAGCACTGGGAGGAAAGCATGGACTCTTTGGATTCTGGAGGTGCAGAATTGCAGAGAAACAACAGAAAAAACTCAATGCTTTTTTTTGCCTTTTTTTTTTTTTTTAAGCTTTTTCTAGTGAGTTTAACAATAGTCCATTTCAGAAAGGATAAGGCTTTACCTGTGTTCCTACCCAGAAACCAACAACAGGGTTCTCTTAAATTACAGGGAGGTCAACTCCAACTGCAAGACTACATACTCAGTTGAAAGCACCTC